GGGAAGGAAGTAGAACAAGGGCAGCTTATCCTATTTCCGAAGTCTGAAGCAGCTGCCATCAAAAAGTCGTTGGCAGCAGCTCAGCTCCCTCTGCCTTTATCCCCAACCCGTGGGGATCTTCTATGAGCCCAGCACATCTTCCCCAACCTCTTCCCTTAAAAGAAAAGGTTTGGGACATCACCCTAGTCTTGCCCCCCAGTCTGGACTGCTACCCAGATCAGGGCTGCCATGTTGTCCAGCTCTCCATCGTCGCCTAAGTGAAAGGCGCCACCTGGAGCTGTGCATCACACAGCTGTGTGGCCACATACGGCACCTGGTCTGAAGATAGGAAGGTAGAGGGCTACACAGGGAACAAGAAGAGGCGTGCGCAATGACTCACTCATTCTTTTTCCCCTTCTGTGCCAGCAGCCAGTTCACAAAGTCTTGTTGGCGGATCTTGTCCATGGCGATACTGTAGTCACTGATGAAAGTCCCCTCGGCATACCTGCGGCTTCGGGGTTGGGAGCCACTGACTTTAGTGTGGAATCTGAGGGGCAGGGAAGAGAGATAGAAACTAGGATGCCACAGAAGGGACAGAGGGTGTGGGGTATCACAATAAGCGATTGTCGCTGACGTAAGTCGACATCTGAAAACGAACCAGCTCGTTCTTGGGAGTCAGTTTTTATGGAGACACCCTCTTGCCCATGCGTCAAGCCCCTCAGCTCAAGGACCCACTTCCTGCATCCTCATTGTGTCTGGCTCTGGTTTCCGGGCAAAGAGGGATTGGGCGGCCCCCTCATCCCAAAGGACTGAATCACAGTTCCCTCATTACTCTTCTCGCCCTGGCCCTACATGATTCAGGTCTTTGGTTCCCAGTGAATGCTAACAATAGTGAACTCATATACAGCAGCACTTACGCTGAGTCAAGACCTCTGAAAGCCCTTTAATACATATACTCGTTGAATCCTCACAATGCCCTTAAGAGGTAGATACTATTTTTTTTTTAATTACAGGTGACATTCAATATTATATTAATTTAGATAAATACTATTTATACCCCCTTTCTGTGAATGAGAAAACCAAGGTGCAGAGAGACTTATTTAGCACACGGCATAGGGTGGCAGATCCAGGCAGCTTGGGCTCAGGTCTCTGTTCTTAACTTCTACGTGACATTGTCTCTCCTTGTACGTGTCTCTGACAGCCGTGCCTCGAATTTATATCGCTGAATTTACACAGGCATATGGCTTGTCCTTGCATCCAAGAAGGCCTAATTGTTTACTCAGACAAGTTTTTCTTGGTTCCCCAAAACACAAAGCCCCCTGCTATATTCACACCTATATTTTTCTCATAGTACTCAGAGCAGTTTGCAATGCACCTATGCTGGTTCTTTGTCTGTTTTCCCCTTGGGCCCATAAGCTCCATGAGAGCAGGAGCCTTTGTGGACCTCTCTGTGCACATATCCTCTGCGCCTTGGCCTGAGGCCCTCTATAAAATTTGACCAAATACATGCATAAATGAATGATTAAGGCTTTCATTGGGAAGGGAGATGTTGTCATCTACTTCAGACCCTTGGCCACTGAGAAGTCCTTTCAGAGATCTAACCACAATCTCTCCTGCTGCAGTAGGCTTTTTCCTCAAGCTTCTCTCCTCTTGGCCTGAGATGCCTCCCTTTCTCACCTTCCCCTCAAAAACCAGAACCCAGTCATGCCCCTGGCCTTTTCCCCTGCACCTGGTTCTTTCCTTCTCACCCCTACCTGGAGTGACCCTCTTCCTTCTCTCCTAGCACCACTGCTAGGAGCAACGACACCAGCAGCAGAGAGGTCTTCATGGCCACCGTCTCTCAAACGTTATTTTCTGATCTAAGAGAGAAAAGGAGCAGGATGAGGTAAAAGCACTGTGCTGAGGGAGCAGCCAGTATGGCAATGCACTGCTGGCACCTCGGAGCCTGTGGGGGTTCTGAAAGCTGGGTGGCACTGAGCCATGAGTTTGGGGCAAGAGGCTGGAGCAACCTCCTGGGGAGGGCGAAGCATGCTGGGCATTAAGAGTTAGGAATTAGAAGGAACATAGAGTCTGGCAAAGAGGTGAGCCTTCTTTTTCTTTTGTTTTTAAGTGGAGTCTGAGTTGGGTGGGAGGGCAGTGGGGGAGAAATCCAGGCAGAAGAAAGCAGCAAAGACCTGTGTGCCTGGACAACCCCCCTTCCTGGCTCCAGTGGCTAGACATCACAGGCATGTGGTTTGGCAAGATTCTCCCCTTAGAGCCCTCCAAAGTTCATACCAGCCAGCCTTCCAGCTCTCAAATTGGCTGTCACCTAAATCATCACAGTCCTCTTGCCCTAAGTGAAAACCACACGTAGAACTATCCCGTTCTCCTCTCCTCAGGCTTCACTATCTTGACTCAGGAAAGTTCTTTCTCAAGTCTGACCCCTCTCCTGAAGGCTTGCCCCACTTCATCCAGAGGGTCTTCGGCAGAGATAAAGAGCATTAAGGAACCTTCCTCCCAAGCCCTAAAAACCAAAACTATACTAGAGATATGCGTGCTGTGATACCTTGCCTGCCTGCCTTTGTTATCTGTTAAAAGAACTATCAGATCCAATTTCTTATTTCTTATATAAAGGAAAAGCAAGTGAGATGCAAAGGTACTGAGTATCTCAAGGGTGTGCAGATCCACCTCCTCTGCAGTGTCTTCTCCATTCCCTGTCCCAGCTACTGTCTTACCAGACGTCCTTTTTGGCTCTTCCAGAAGAAAAGAAAGGCAGGACAAGGCTCTCGTCCTCCTACCTTCTGGCCCTTTGGAGTCTGCCTCAAGGAAGCCTGCAGTAGTTCCCTTATATCCAGGCTTCACAGACCCACTGATTAGCCTAAAAGCATCTTATCTCAAGAAATTAAGCCCGCCGCTCCTGTAATAAAGTTTCTCTTTCCACCTGAACTATGCTAATTGGTGATTAACATTTGGGTATTTCCAGCTGCTGTCTGGGGCCTGCCTGTGGGTAGGGTACCTTAAGTGCCCTCTTTCTTCTTCCCCCTCCTTCCTTCTGGGCACAGGGCCCCCGTGTTCTATGCCTTACTTCTTTTCCTGGTGCCCTTGGTGAAGGCAGACCTGGGTAGGGTGGTCCTGACTGGGGAAAGGGGACACTCCCATAGGCAATAAGCTACTTCTGGGTGGGAGTGGATAGGGCTGTAGTCATTTAAACCCCAGCTCTGGATAGGGGTCCATGGTTTTGGCAATGTGGTAATGTCCCCATTGCAATATCCAGAGGGGTCTCCCAGCTGGCTAGAGAAAGAACTCGAGAATGAGAAGGCAGAGGGTTGAGAGAATATGAAAGATAGAGGTTCCCTAGTGTAGCTAGATGAACCGAGAACTTCCGCTCGAGTTCTCTTTCTTCTTAGAGGCAGGCTAGAGTCGGGCACATTTATACTTTGGGAACTCGGAGGAAGGTAGGGCAGCTACAACTCTATCTGTAAAGATTTATGAGATCCAATCCTCTCCCTTCAAATGCACTCTTCTCCTGTATGAGAGAGATCTGTGGTCCTGCCTGTGCCATCAGAGTGGGGACCCTTATGGTCATGCTGTGCCTCTCTATCAGACTGGAGGGCTCCAGGGCAGAAACTTCACCTCCCTGATGGGACCAGGGGCTCTCCGAGAGGAGGGCAACGAGCCAGGGGCTATATCTTCTCCATCCTGCAGAGGCTTCCTGAGGCTAAGGGCTGTGTCTGCCCCCAGACTGGAGACTCATCGGGGGACCTTCTTCAAAGTACTTAGCACATGGCTCTGTCCACAGGGACTCTCCTCTAGAAGGCGAAGAGCACAGACTGTGTTCTTGGTAGATTCCTGATGCCTTCTTCCCAGGCTTTTCCTTCTGCATTTGCCTTGGGTACTTTGAACCATAAACAACCAAGCTCCTGTTCTGCCTTTTAGCTCCAGGGCCTAATAAAGGCTGCTTTCCTTTCCAGGTGAACTCCCAGCCTGGGAGCAGCTCCAGCATGAAATTAAGTGCTTGTGTGGGATGAGAGGCAACTGGACTAGGAGGGCAACTCTGCTTCCTAGAAACCTTGCCCGCCCACCACCCATTTTTCACTATTTAGAAAATCTTCTCTCTGGGCAAGCTCTCCATATTCCATCTCTAGGCTATCAACGGGCAGAGATTAGGCATCCATTCAGATTTGGCCTCCAAAGGGGATGTGGGGACTGCTGATGATCCTGCTTCCTATTGAGAGACATATTTAATGGGCTCAGAAGGCTTTATGTTAAAACCCTGGAGACAAAGGGTATCCAAGAAAGGTGGATATCATTCCCTGCAACCCCTAAGTCTGATGCCAAACCAGAGTTAAGGAAGGCTCCGTGATGGGTCCCAGCAGCCCTGAGCTCCTGTCTGGTGCTTTGTGGATTTGTTTTGGTGGGTGGGCTGCTGTGAAGCCCATTTATGCTTGAAGTCCTGATCTATGCCCTCTCGAAGGGGATCTCTCTGCAGCTCCCCTCCCTGTTTCCCTTTGATCTCTGGCTCTCATGCCATGCAGCGGACAGACTAAGGAAAATGTGGCCTGGGCCCTGGGGGAGAGAGAAATGTGGGAAGGGACAGAGGAGATCAGAGAAGATGCCAAACCCCTGGGGGAGCCCACAGGCCCCCCACGGGGCATATTGAGAAGGAATGGCAAAGATGGCCTTGGGAAGTTACTGGGGATCAAATGGGCCTGCTGGACTTGATCAAGATAGTTCCGTAAATCCCACTAGCAGCTTGGCCAGCCAGTCCGTGCCAAAATGAAAAGTGTCCTTGTGTACAGAATCCAGTTCAGTGCAGGGGGGAGGTCGGGGAGGAGAAGCTCAGGAGGTGGCAGAGCCCCAGTCCACTGTGGAGAATTTCTAGGTTATGAGGAGTCAGAGAAGACACAGGGGATGGAGAAACAGAAGAACGCCCCCAACTGGCCTGAAGCCCAGATGCAAAGGCTAATGATGGCCCAGACAGGTGGAGAGAGTGTGTGTTGGACGGGTGGTTCGGGTGATGTCTGAGGAGTCCTGGAAGTCAGGGAATCTGCTGGGAGCGGGTGATGGTTGTACTGTTGTGAGAGAACCCGGGGTCCTGCTTTCCAGACCCTCCTGGCTTCTGAATCGAGGTCCAGGAATGAGAACTGGAACAGCAGGACAGACTTTGGGGCTGGCTGGCTCTTCCAGCTCTGGATGGTGAATCACCACCCCCCAGGCCAGCAAGACCACAGCAGACATTCCCGGCCCAGTGCTGCAGCCAGGCCAGGGTGACTCAGATGGCTGGCTGCAGCCTCCCTACCGTGGACGACGCTTTTGAAGTTCACTTGGTCTTCAAGCTCACTAGCTGACTCAGAGAAAAGACATCCTTCTCTGATCTCTCTTACAACAGGTGGCAGATTTATTCTCCTTCTCCTGAAGAGGAGACCAAGAGATGACGTGAACTTTGCTGAGTCATCTGCTCTATCCTGATTCCTAGAAGGACCGTCTGCAGCTTTTGTTTCCCAGTCGCATCACAAACATTGTCATGGTCATGAACATTTTTGCCCACGTGAGACCCACTACCACTCAGGTCAAGATAGATACTTTCCAGAAGGATCTTCAAGAAAGAATATACTACTTAAAGCTTCTCTTGGCCGTCTGCTCCAGGGATCAGTTTGGATGTCGCCTCTCTTTCTGTTTTCAAAGACTATGTTGTTTGCTTTTGTTTGTCAAGAAAAGAGCTCAGCCCTGAGTAGTTGCAGCCTAACCCGTGGGAAGAGAGCAGCAGTGAACAGTTAGAGCTGGGAGGAGTGTTCACAAGGTTCTCATTTTGGGGAGGGAAGAACTGGTGATGCATTTAGGATAAAGGGCCATAGGGCTGGGCCTCCCAGAGAGAGCAGCATTCCTGAGCCCCTCTCTTTCCTAGGTGCGAGCACATCCCAGGGAAAGGAAGAGAGGGGTGAGAAGGGAGGGCTTTCCCTTCCTTTTCCTTGCATCCAGGGAAAGGAAGGATGGAGCGGTTTCCAGGGTCCCCAGCAGAGCAGTTTCTAGGGTCCCCAATGAACCCCTCCCCCAGGCATACAAACACACATTCCTGCAATGGGTATGGGGAAGGCATTCTGCAACGTCAAAAAACATACCCTCATTAATTAGACTAGGGAGTAGTCTGGTAGGGAGGAGAGAGAAGAGTAAGAGGATTCAAACCCCAGCTCCACTGGCCTACCACCCCCAGGTTATATTCAGCTTTGGGCAAAGCCCTGAAGCACTCTGAGCTTTAGCTTGCCCATCTCTAAATTTGAGATAAGAAAACAAACTTTGCCTTGCCTACGTGATAAGTAAGTGTGAAGTTAGTATCTTTGTAACTTGAAGGCATCCTGCGAATGTTGACTGGTGGTTTTCTCTGGAATGATCTCCATCTAGCTCTATGGTGAGAATTAGACAAGACGAAATAATAAAGCCAGGCTGACTCAGCCTGTTATGTGGCACATGGAAGGCTGTGAAATTCCATAATATGAGCGAAGGCTTTGGAGACAGATCCACCTATGCTTCCTAGGAGGGAGATTAAAGCAGCTTACTCTTTATGTGCTTCAGTTTGCCTTTCTGTAAAATGGGAAAGGTAATAGTTCCTACCTCAAAGAATTGATTTGGGAAACCTGTATACTTAGAAGATACACTAGGTTACATTATATCTTGATACACTAGTTACTTTTTGTTACATAACAAATTTTAGCAGCTTAAAACAAGGAACATTTATTCTCACACAGTTTCTGAGGCTCAGGAATCTGGTAGTGGCATAGCTGTGTGGTTCAGGCTCAGGGTCTCTCATGAAGTCTCAGCTGTCAACTGAGCAGCAATCTGAGAAGACTCATCCCGGACTGTAGATCACCTTCCAAGCTCACTCTTGTGACGGCAGGCTGAAGGCTTCGGTTCCGTACCATGTGGACCACTCTACAGAGCTTCTCACCACGTGGCTTCTTCCCTCAGAGCAAGGACACACATCTAAGATGAAAACTTAAATACAAAAGTGGCATACCATCACTTCAGCTATATGCTACTGGTTATACAGACCAACCCTGGTACAATGTGGGAGGGACTATACAGGAGGCAGAGAACACTGGGAGCCACTTTAGAGGCTGGCTACCA